ATATGTACTTTATTTTACTCTCCATCCATCCATCCTATGCTTCGACGTGCTAATAAAAAACCGTATTGAAAAAAATGCGCCATAAAAATGATTCATTTCTTCCATCCTTTAATCTGACACATGCCAGATAATAATTGTGTCATGTTAAGCGTCGTGCACGCTCTATCTTTCTCTAACGTGCGAGCCCTTGTTATCTACACATTTTTGGAGTGGACGCGGGGCCCGCAGCGGCGATGGCGGCGGCGGTGGCGGTGAAAAAAAAAAAGAAACGCATTGTTTATGTAATCAACCGACCGGAGTCCTACTACAGCGATGCCGCCGGAACTTCCCGCGCTTTTCCCTTCTACCGCGCCTTTTACTCCGCCTGCGCCTACGAGTACCCCCTCGCGCCGACAAGTAGGCCTCGCGCTCACTTCAGAGGACCTGGGTTAGAACTCCCATATTACACTTACTACTGCCGAACTACTTATATACAGGGTGTTTTGAAAATAATGATAAATCTTTCACATAAAGACAGAATGGACTAAACTGAGAAGAAAAGTCCTTTACTATTTTGTAATTTTCGCAATAGTTGACAAGATATTAATTGCTAAAAAATGCTGAAGTTGGTCTTCAATAATTTTTACTCAAATACTATCAATTTTACAAAAAAACTGCGAAAAGCAAAAATTGTTTATTTTCTTCTCATACAAATTTTTTTAGAATTTTTTATCAACTTTTTAGTACTGCATTTTCTCATTTTTACCAACTTAAGAAAATACGTACTAAAAAATTCTGAAAAAATTAAAAAAAAATTCTTAGAGCCTTATGAAAAGAAAATTAACAATTTTTGTCACTTGCAGTTTTTCTGTAAAGTTGATAGTATTTGAGTAAAAATTTATTGAAGATCAATTTTCAGCAATTTTTAACAATTAATATCTTGTAATTGCGAAAATTGCAAAATAATAAAAGACTTTTCATCACTTAATACTTTTTTTTTATATGAAGAATAATTAGAGACTTTTATCTGGAACTTTTTTCCTATCATAAAAATCAAGTGAGGTATCAGATGATCGAGTTAGGTGAGACATTAGGTGAGACCTATATATAAATAAGATATACACATATATCGTATACTTTTCTTTTTAGTTATGAAATTTCGTTATGTAAACTTACCAATCATCACTCGCGCCGGTACGGCATTCCATTCAAGCCAAAATGTGATGAACGAACTGGTTACTAGAATAATGCCCGGGATGAAAACCGTAGTGAAATAGAAGGAACGATCTCGCGTGAAGATCAAATCCACCTTCAAGCAGCTGTAATTACCTGAGTCAAGCACACGTAACTTTATTTTTCGTGCTGCAGCAAAAATCGACGAAAATTTATACTTTGAGAAGCAAAAAGAAAAAGTACCTTAATAACACTTTTATAACACTTTGATTCAAATAGAGACAAATTATTAATGGATATTCAAATATTTTTAAATACTTCACAATTAATGAGATAATAAATTTGAATAATTATTGAGAAAAGGTTAAATCTCACGATAACCTTGACTTTGACATATCTTATCAAAATCGAGATTTTGAATAACTTTGCTTTAATAACTAGAAAGTGATTCCTTATAGTTTCTGAGATAAGATACTATAAAGTATTAAATTTTATTCCCGGTTATGCAGGATTCAGCCAAATAACATGTAAAAGCGAGCATGATAAGATTTTTTATAAAAAAGTAAAAAAAAATATATAGAATGAAATTTTTCGATTTCCTGCTTAGTTTTCGAGAAAATCTAGTTTGAAAATTCGCTGCGTACGTACGCTGTTACGGCTAAATTACGGTTCATCGAGCGATGTATAACGCGTATAGTGGTTTATAAACAACCTACGATGTCGAACACTCATGACATTTTTCAACAGATTTTCAATCTCAATTTTCTCGAAAACTAAGCAGAAAATTGAAAAATTATATTATATAATATATATATTTTTTTACTTTTTTATAAGGAATTACGTTATGTTCGTTTTTAGATATTATTCGGCCGGATTCTATACATTTCAGTTTTTCATATAGTCTTCATGTAATTCGTTTTGTATTGAAATTTGTGCTTCTTTATTGGCAATTCGTGTTTATATTCGTTACTCTTCTTATATTTGATATGACTATGTTTTAATAAAAAGATTTAAAATATCGTCAATGAATTTCGTCTATTCTTGTCAATTTTTAAACAGCTTTCAACATGCAACTATTATATATAAACAACGATTGATAGGATCTAACATTTTAAAACTAAACTCATTGAAATCAGCGCCTTATAGATCGCGGTAAGATGTTGAACTACTAATTTTAATATACATTCAATAAAATTGAAAGTATATAATTAATTTTTCAGACATAAATTGAGAGCCGATGAAATTATCGGATTCACACAATAATTCTGAAATTAATAAAATTTAAAAATTATTACAGTTTTTAAGATTGGGAAGAATTTGGGGGGATTTATTAATTTCAGAATTATTGTGTGAATCCGATAATTTCATCGGCTCTCAATTTATGTCTGAAAAATTAATTATATACTTTCAATTTTATTGAATGTATATTAAAATTAGTAGTTCAACATCTTACCGCGATCTATAAGGCGCTGATTTCAATGAGTTTAGTTTTAAAATGTTAGATCCTATCAATCGTTGTTTATAATACGCAGCCTAAGCAATGCGTAATTCTCTCTATATATGTCGATTATTGCGAAGAGTGTTGCTAAGGTCTCGGTAGTCTAAAGGCTCAGGACGCTCGCACGGAATGCAAGAGATCCGGGTTCGACTCCCGGCCGAGGCAATATTTTTTCGCAATAAAATTATTACAGTTTTTAAGATTGGGAAGAATTTGGGGGGATTTATTAATTTCAGAATTATTGTGTGAATCCGATAATTTCATCGGCTCTCAATTTATGTCTGAAAAATTAATTATATACTTTCAATTTTATTGAATGTATATTAAAATTAGTAGTTCAACATCTTACCGCGATCTATAAGGCGCTGATTTCAATGAGTTTAGTATTATATATAAGTTTTTGAGTCTTGTTGAAGATAAAGATAAGTTAATAGATTTCCCTATTAAAAAAATTATTCATAGATGTATCAAATATTCACGATGTGAAACAATATTGGATTTAAATCAGAAGTACATGCTTCTTGTTTAAAAGTACGAAATATAAACAATATAGGCAAGTCAATAAGTTTTTAGAAAAACATAAAAAAACACATTTTTTTTATCGATTCATTTTTATTTTCTCAACATAGTCTTCTTTCAGCTCGATACACTTAATCCAATGATTCTCCAACTTTTTCAAGCCGTCCGAATAATATGATTTGTCTAACCCTTCAAAATAAGCTTCTGTTTCGGCGATGAGCTGCTCTCTGGAATCTCTTTCTTCCGAACCATTTCTTCAGGTTTGGAAATAGTCGTAGGGGGCTAAATCTGGCGAAAATGCTGGATGGGGAAGCAGCAGAATTCGTTGAATTTGGCCATCGGTGCCGGGCACGCGTGAACCCATGCATTGTCTTGATGGAAGAGCACTTTCTTCTTCGCCAAATGGGGACATTTTTCTTTAAAATGTTCTTGAAACGATCCAATAAGACTGCGTAGTAATCACCATTGATTGTTTGCTTCGACGGAAGGTAATCGATATGAATTATACCGCGTGTATCCCAAAAAACTGTGGCTATTACCTTTCCGACTGACTTCACGGTCTTTGGAGCTGGTTCACCCGGTGAAATGCATTGTTTTGACTGTTCCTTCGTCTTGGGTGTGAAGTAATGGATCCATGTTTCGTCCACAGTAATGAATCGACGCAGAAATTCATCTGGATTACGTTGAAACATCTCCAAACATTGTTTTGAAATCGTCACACGGTCGCGCTTATGGTCCACAGTGAGCAAACGCGGCACCTATCTTGCTGATAGCTTTTTCATACCCAATTGTTCGTGCAAAATTGAAATCACTGTGCCATGTGATATGCCTGTGGTCTTAACAAGCTCGCGCACTTTCACTCGTCGATCAGTCAAAACAATATCGTGGACTTTATCGATGATTTCTGAGGCATAACAGCCTCAATTGGACGTCCCGAACGAGGTGCATCACATGTGAATGTACAACCATATTTAAATTCATTCTCCCGATTGTATACAGTCGCAAACGCTAGTGCAGATGTGCTATAAACATTATCCAACTCGGCTTTGATTTCTTTCGGCGTTAAATCTTTCATATGTAGATGTTTGATCACTGCATGAAACTAGTTTTTTTCCATTTTGTAAAAAATACAAAGGTTGTTCGGTTTAATCGTCTTCACAGAAATGAAACTACGCGAGGAATTCCGCTCAAAATTTGACAGTAATCAGTTGAAAGATGCTACTTCTCAAAAAGTAAGATAATATGATACTGCGACTGCCCTCTGACTTTCTAAGAACTTATTGACTTGCCCTCGTTAAAAATAAGAAATAATATAAAGTATTGTGACTTCAGATTGAGTCTACTGAATATAAGACACGGTTTTCATATGTTCATCTACAATGAATATATGAATTTATTCTTATTGAATATTTTTTAATAATATGTCTTTTTCGACAAATGTTTTTAATGAAAAAATTTGGTATTACCCTATTACATTTATCACATTGGTCAATTGGTCAAATTTTTGCGTGAGGTTAGTTTTTATTATATTTATCTTTACGCGTGTCTGTCAAAGTATGTTTTATTTTCTTATTGGAACCCGAATTATTTCTCTTATACGTGATCAATGTACAGTAAGAGTCATAGATAGTCGTGAGTTGTCAGAGATAGTGTTTTCAGATCCTGGGATGTGGGACCTGTTTCTTTCTGGCGTGGGATTTTACGTGATCTCATCACATGATTGCTAATCGCAAACAGATATCGTAGCATATGGTAGTAAGATCCCACGAGATCACATGAGATTCCACGCCAGAGAGAGAGAGAGAGGGAGAGGGGGGAGGGGGAGGGGAATCCAGGATCTGAGAACACTGTTGTGGGATCTTAAGTCGTAGCAAATTAACCAATCAAATATGAAAAAAATAATCAATTACAATATGATTGATCGATTTCCTACGATTTAAGATCATACGACCATTTATGATTCCTATTATAGACCTATTGTCAACTTTTGTTTTGAACAAATTGATGATACGGATGAAATGATTGGAGAAGAAAATATCGTGATGGAAATAGATGAAGCTAATATTGAAAAGCGAAAATTCAAAGCCACCAACTTGTAACTGGACAATAGATCTTTTGTGAAATTAAACGCGAAACAAAAAAAATGATTTATTGAATACTTATGGTAGAAACATTATCAACAATAAAACAAAATTGGATTGTGGGTACAATTATTGTATTTGATTGTTGGAAAGTATATAATTAATTTGAATCTAACAACATAAATACTCCACAATTACAATAATTCATCTAATTTTATAAGTCCTGATAATGGAATTTATATTTAAAATATAGAAAAAACTTACAGAGATACTCGTTTAAATATCTCACAATACTCAAAATAAATATTATGTAGAATATCTTTACAAACAAAATTTTTTTTAAAGAAATGTGTAGAAGCATTTTTTATATTATGGTAAAATATTATTCGCCTGTATTATGATAAAGAAGAAAGTTTACAATTTATAAACAATAAGAATCTTATTGGATTTTAACAATGAAGGAACAATAAAAGTCAAAGTGACAATGCAATAAAACATTACTTTACTTTACAAATATCTCGATAAATGTTTCGATCATATATTTGGTCATTCTCAATATTATAAATCAAATATATCAGCCACTACTTACAAAATTATTGTTAATTTATTGTCTATAAAATATTTATATTAACACAAATGTCACGAAAGGATTCTTCATTCTCTTTGTCTCGTTACAAAATACTGCATCGTTGAATGCGAAAATTATTGTTACTTCATTTGAAATTACCCCGGCATCTCAGACTCTAATAGGATTCCCATTCTATATAAATTACAATATATAAACAATCTAAATTTTTTGTATTGGTCATTCATTAAATATGATAACCATAAAGTATGAAAATCAAATAGTCATATTGTACGTCAAAAAGATAAATTTAAAAATATATTAAATTATAACAATAAAAAGTTGTTTTTTAATAGTACCTGTAAGTCTAACAGAAACACCAATGGATAAACCGTAAAGTATCACATGTTAAAATCGCTGACAAGATCTCAAAAAGATATGTATCGTCAATGTGACAGTGTAGAAAAGACCAGCAAAATATAATAACGTAAGG